GAACGCCGAGTTCTGGGTGGCCTGCGAGGACTACAAGAAAACCAAGTCCCCTGTGAAGATGGCAGAGAAGGCCAAAAAGATCTATGAGGAGTTCATCCAGACTGAAGCACCCAAAGAGGTCAGTGGCCATGGGGCAGGAGATGGTACTGGGAGGGATGAGGCTGCAGCCCTGTTGGCCTCCATCCCAAAGGACAGCGATGGCCGCAGAGCACCTCATGTGGTGGCTGAGAGGTCAGAGGGCTGTGTCCTTGTCAAGGGGCAGCCTCATCCCCACGTGCTGCACTCCCATCCTTCACAGCCCTGGAGCCCCTGTTTGCATGCTCAGCCCCTGCTGGGCTGCCTCCATCCATGGGCACCCTCAACACGTGCCTGTCCCCACCCTCCCCATGGGATGACCAATGTACAGTCATCTTCCTCCCCAAGTTAGCTTTGCAGCAGGACAGAGCTCATCCCGACAGCTTTGCCACCAATAATTCTACCAGAGAAATGAATCTGCTTCAGTCCCTCCCCTCACCCTTTGCATGATTGTTGGTGGGACAGAGCAGCGAGGGGAGACCATCACTCAGCCCTCCAAAGGCAGGCTCCCATCCCTCTGACACTCTCATGACAGGTGAACATCGACCACTTCACCAAGGCTGTGACCATGAAGAACCTGGTGGAGCCATCACCAACCAGCTTTGACATGGCCCAGAAGAGGATCTTTGCCCTGATGGAAAAAGACTCCCTGCCCAGATTTTTGCGGTCGGAGTTTTATCATGAATTAATCAAGTAGCAATGCAGCAGAGCTGTGCAAGGCATCCCTGCTGCTTCTCTCTAAACACCTGCCCCTTCTCCTGCAGCTGCTTTGCTTTCTCAATACCACCTAGAGCACTCAGAGGTGTTGCTAAGCTTCTCCCCCATGCTTTGGACTGTCCAGTGTCCTGGTGTTTCCTCTCTTACTATCTCTTTCCTCTCCCACAAAAGACCAATTTGCAGAAACTCTCTGGAGTTGGGACCCAGAGGGGTGAGGGAGCAGCCCCGGCTCTGCAGTGACCAGGAGCCATGTGGCCAGCTGACACATCCCTGACGCTGCAGAGCTTGGCATTAGCTGGAGGCTCCAAGGTGCTGATTTTGCCTTCTTAGGGCTCCTTAGAACATGACAAATTTTCTCAGTGTTTCCCATATTGCCAGCTTGGGCCAGGCTCGCTCCCTTCTCCCACTTTCCCCGTCTGCTGCTGAGAGTGCACAGGTACCTGCAGGTGCTCCCCTCCCTGGCCAAGGTGACGTGAGACACATCCACTGCCCGATTTGCGTCACCTTCCCTCTGAAAGCAGCCATTCAGCAGGCACAGTGACAGCTGGCCAGGGACGGGGGCACGGCAGGGACACCGGGGACACTGACACGTACAGCAAGGATGGCACTGTGACAAGGAGGGCAGGGACCGCTGTACGGCAGAAGCAGGTGCTGCAGGGCATGCCTGGCTGGCACCAGGGGTGAGCAGAGCGAGCCTGTGGCACCTCTTCCCCAGCAGCTCCACTCGGAGTCAGCCTGTGTGCTTCCCTCTGAATACAAAAACAACAGGATAAAGTGAGACCTGTTGGTCCAAAACACTGGGACTGCTTAGCAACGCCGAACTCCTGCTCACTCCAACCTTTGCACAGTGCCCTGAGCTGCCAGGGCACATCCTGTGCCACGTCCCAGTGCACAGCCCTCGTGGTGTGCTGGGATGCAGCTCTGGGGGCTGCCACGGGCTCTCTTGTTGCAGCTGCTTCTCTCTGCGGTAGGCACGCCAAAGCAATGCTCCTGCACAAACCCAGCATCGCACAGGAGGAAGGGAAGGCGTGCTGGGAAAAAGAGAGCTGAAATTCCAGCTGTTCAGGTCCAATTTGAAAAATCCAAACCAAACACACACCCATCATTGGAAACGTGAAAAATAACCCCCTGGCTTCTACAGCAGAATGTAGACCCTGCTGAGTTTGTGTAGCCTGCATCTCTCTCTGCTGTCTCCTCCTCTCTACCCAGGCCATGTGTTTCCATAGGCTGTCTCTAAAAAGGATTAGCTGCTTTCTAATGATTCAAAGCCAGCCTTCTGCTAAGAGAATAAATCACACCTGAGGAAGGGGCAAGGGCATACGTGAAAAGCAGCCCACAGGGTCTCATTTCAGCTTTGAGGGAAATGTGACAAACCCCTGCTCCACAGGGCCCAGATGGTTCATCCCTGAGTTGGTTTCCTGGTGCATCATCCACAGGGTCATGGCTTGCAAGGAGCTGCTTCAACCAGCAGCCTGACAGGTGCCAGCAAAACATCCATGGCCCTGCTGCCCACGGCATTTGGGGCTGCTCTGCCTCACTGCAAGTCATGGGACTCTAAGCAAAATGCAGTAACATAAACAATGGATTTGCCAGCCTCTTCAAGACTTTCAAAATCTGATCAAAACCCCGCCAGTCTCAAATATTTACACATTGTCACTATGGCAATGAAGAAAAATACATCCCAAGCAGCAGGAAATGGGCAGGAGTGGGGAGGCAGGGGAAGGATGGAGGCAGTCACAAATGTGACTCTTTTTTTAAGCTCTGGAGCAAAAGGCCTGGGAAAGTCGGTGCTGGAGCAGCAGGGTCGATGCTTGCAGGCATTCCCCTGGGGTGAATGCAGAGGGTGGCTTGGGTGACCTAAAGAGCCCAAGGGAGCCCATGAGCAGTAGGAGGGTGCCATCAAAAGGGCACAGGACCCCCCAGCAGTGTCCATCGTTCAGTGGGCAACAAGGGGGAGGCAGAAGCAGGGCTAAGTGCGGGACGGGGGGCTTGGCCAGCCCCTCTGCTGCCGGGTTCTCCCCCCACCTCTGCCTGCACACACTCCCTGCACCCTCCCAAAGTCTCCATGAACTGGTGTCAATTCAAGTGGATTCAGCATGTTCAAGCTCCTCATTTACAGCATGACTCAGAAAAGCAAAACGGAACAGACTTCCCTGCAGGAAGACCTGGATCTTTCATTTCTGCTTAATCCTTTGGCAGCTATTTCCAGGTTCCCTCACATGTTTCGCAGTTAAATGCCACCACCACCACTGCCGTAGAGTGGGGATGCTGCTGGAGGCTCTTGCTATGCACCATCAAATCCTGGGACGTCACTGCTGCAGCAACGACACATGGGGCAGGGAGAAGGTGTCTGGGTATGTGTGTGCTGGAAAGAAAGGCACAGCCTGGATTCAGGCTGGATTCGGGAGAAATGCCACAGCTCTGTTGGCAACCCTTCCCTGGCTCAATTTCTGTTAAAATGTTGGAAGTCTACTCTGGGGGCTGCCCGTGATCTACTGGGTGGCCAGAAAATGTGGCCACTGAAGTGTTTTGGAGCTCTAGGGAAGTTGTGTTTGTGTAGAAGAGCCATTTGGCTAATTACTCCAGCAGGCTTGCCCAGAAAGGTGATAACACCTGTACCAGCCCCATGGCCCAGCTTTCCATTAGCCCAGAGGTATTTGCTATTGGGCTGATTCCAACCATCATATTTCAGGTAGGAGATACTTCATGTATTTTATCACTCTAGTTCTTGTGAAATTTGGCATATATAGCAGTATATAACATAACATGTACATCTGTATTCCTGTATTCATATATACACGTGCACACACATATATACTTGTAACATGGGTATCTTGACCCCCTGAGAGTCAGAGAGCCAAAAAGCAGAGTTTCCACACCACAAAGATGTAGTGCTTGGGGTCCATCACAGAGAGGAGTGTGTGTGGGTTTTGCATTGTTCCAGACCCTCCTGAGGGAAACCTTGGCCATCCAGCTGAGAGAACACAAGGGTGCATCCTTCAGGATCACCCTGTGCCCGTGGCCTCTGTGTGCCATCCTGGCACCTGGGCTGGTGCAGGAGGAAGGTCTCGTGCCCCTCCAGGGACCCCTATCTCTGCCGTGGGGCAAGGCAGCCCCACGCTGCAGCCAGGGGCATGGGGCACCAGGCACTGCCTCCATGCCACCCTGGCACCCAGTCCCTGCCACAGGCACGCGTGGAGAATGGCTCCCTGCAGCTGCATGCCCCAGAGCGACACCAGAGGATGGTTTGATGTGTGTTCTATGGTGACTTCAGCAACATGGAGCCTCGCACCTCATCAGTCACAGGGAGAACCACACAGCTCTTGCCCTGCGTGCTGAGGCTGGGCTGCCCAGTCCCTGACTTGGGCACTGCCAAAGCCCAGTGGCTGAAAGTGTCCCAGATCTCATCCAGGCTCCCCTCAGGCCTTGGTCACTCCCTGGAGGATGCTGCATGCTGTGGCCAAGGGCTGGAGCAAAGGCAGGAGGGCGCAGCAGCTCCTCCCACCTGTGAGCTGCAGGTTTTCAGTCTGGAGTTCTCCATGGGATAGTCATGTGGGGAAGATGTGAGGAGCTGGTGTGCACTGAGGAGTTGTGTTAACCCATATTCATGTACCACTCAGTAATCCACACATTAACATGTATTTATGCTACTGTCTCAATGGACTGTTCATTTTGTCTCTTTGTTCTGAAGGTGCAGCACTTTCTTACCCACTACAGAGCACTCCCAAAACTTATACCTAAAAGCCCTGGCAAGACCAAAAGTCTCTGGACTGGGGCTGAGCAAGAGCCAGGCCTGCTCTCTGCACCCACAGGGCATGGCCCAGGGACAGGCTCGGCTTTGGGATAAAATGTGTTCCGTCCATTCAGAGTTGCAACACATCTGCATCAGGGAAGGGCTCCTTGATCTTCCCCACTCCAAAGCTGTCAGGTGGACTCACACTCACCCCAGAGCCTTGGTGAGGATGGCTAATTCCCATGTTCAGCTGGTGGCCAGGCAAGGCATGGACCCATAAAAACCCCTTATCCCCTAGGATCATGATGCTGAAGGTGTCTGAAGGATGTAATTATTGATGCTTCATCTGCTGTTTCATCTTTCTGTGACTTAATCTCTGAGTGAAGCCACTTGTAACAAAACTTTTAAGAGTGACCTTGTCCAATGAATTGGATCTCCATGCATTTTCTTTTGTTCATGTAATAGCATAATAGCATTTTAGAAGGAACTAACACAAACATTTTATTTAGACTGCATTCATCATTATTTAAATATTGATACAGTTTTTGCAATAGTTACCAAGACTTCCCAGTACCAGGGGAAAAAAAAACCATAGCCACATGCTTGGCTATGTTCAGTGCTTTAGCAAGCCTCTCCATCTCTTAGCTGAGCATGCAGGGTGATAAGTGTTGGTACATTGAATAAATACAAAATAAAGCACATGTTAAAGAAAGAAGTTTCTCTATGGGTCTGGAGAGCCACAGCCTCCTCCTGCCATGCCAAAACCTCGGTGTGAGAGCTGCTGTCTGGATTGGGAGGCAGAGTGCAGGGTACGCAGTGGCCACAGCAGCAATACCTAATGAAGGAGAGACCAAGGCTGGGGGACAGTGAGACACCCGTGCTGCAGCTCAGGGCAGCAATCCTGCAGCCGCCTCCTGTGCCTCCCACTGCAGGTCAGTGCCCAAGCCCACAGCAAAGGCCCTGTCTCACCACAGCAACCAAAGTGTCAGCTGCCTTCCGGCAAAGCCCCGGAGCAGTAATGAGATAGACACATTCCTCCTACCATCTTCAGGAAAAGTGAGCCATGCTACTACTGAGATACATAAATAAGACCTTAAAAAACTCCAGCATTTTCAAGTACTCCCAAGCAGGGCCTTTCTTCCTCAGATATGGTGGTCCTATTCCCTCACAAACTGCTTCTTACAAGCCAGGACAGGCAAACCTGAAATGGCGCTCCCAGAGTCAGGAATATAAACCTGTCTGGGAGAGAAGGAACATGTTTCTGTTCTGTTCTGCTGGACTATTTAACCTGGGAGCATGAAGGTTGCAATTAATAATATAGGAAATAATGAGCCTCTCCCAAAGTAACAGCTCTGCACAGCCCTAGGGAAGATCCTTGGCCAGCACAAACTGGGTGCTACAGAGGGAGCAGCAGCCAGAGGGAAGAGTTTCCCGTGATGGCCGAGGGAGGCTGAGCTTCCCAGTGACTGTGGCTGTGATGATTGAGGGAGGCTGTCCAAAAAGTTTTGGTTTCCCTTCAAGAAAGAGCAGGAGCTCTTCCTGTGCCTGATACTGCAATGCAGCACAGCCTGAGCTCTGAGCATACACTCCTGACAGCCTGGACATTTGGGAGTTGTGAACAGCTAAGAACCAGAGCCAGCCCTTTTCACCTAAACCTCTGCAGATTAGAAAGGGGAGATGACAGTCTCCAGCACTTCCTTTGGCTGCCCCTCTGCCCTGCACCTGGCTGTGTGTCACGCTGTGACCCCACCAGCCTGGTCCCTCGGTGGGCAGAGCCAGGGCTCCCTGGGGCTCCCCAGCACCCTGCTGGCTCCCAGGGCTCGGCACTCGCAGCCACTGCCCCCGCTCCTGCCAGACAGACCCCAGCGCTCCTACACCGACCCGTCACAGGAGGGTTTGCTACACACACTGAGCCTGGATTGGGTTACAAATGCTGGCTGCTGCATGACATGGGATACAACTGGAACATTAGACAGCTACTGGAGACAGCTCTGTTGCTTCATGCCAATGAGTGCTTTTGCTGCCACATATTCTGCAAGAGCCCGGCCCGCCCCTGCCTTGCTGCAGGTTCAGGCGCACTGAGAGATGATGTTGGAGTTGCAGTCTAAGCTGTGAGTGTGGTTTCTTTTGCAGTTTTCGGGCCTACAGCCAGCACCAGGTGGGCTGACCAAGTCCAGGTAGTAAGGGGACTTGAGGAAGCGACGGTAAGAATCCTTCTCCATGAGGGTGAATATTTTTCTCTGAGCCTCATCAAAGCAGGACAGTGTAGGCTCCAGCATGTTGTGGCTCGTCTTCTCCCGTGTGCATGAATCCAAGTTCACCTGTCAAAGGGCCAAAGGGACAGTGTGAGTAGAACCTGTCCCAGATGGGGCATAGGAAAGGGAAAATCCAAGTATCTCTCCACCATGTGTGCTTGCTGAGCAGCTGTCTGAAGTGGCTGTTTGACACCCTGTAGCCTCAGCAGAATCTGTGCAGCTGGACACCAGTGCATCTCTGCTACCAGAAGAGCTGTCAGGGGAGACTGACACATACGTCCCTCTGGGATGCAGCTAGCCAGGAAACTCAAACTGCATGGGAGCAGCTGAAACATTGGGAATCATGGTCCTCTTGGGCTTCTCCCATTTCAGTGTGCGCATGGAATGGCCATGTGGTTGTAACTAAACACACTTTCTCTCTAGCCAAATTTAATATAAAATCAATAAAAGACCCACCACAACCTTCTAACTAGCAGAGAAGCAGAAGCCTTCATCTCTTGTAAAACTATTGACTTCTGCTTGGCTGTGCTGCTGGTTCAGAATTTAGGGTGGTGCCTTTGCCCAAGGAATGTTCAGTGCACGTACCTCTTTTGTGGCCTGCACTGAGATGAACTCATCATAGATCTTCCTGGCCTTGGGGCTGAGCTTGGCCGGTGACTTGGTTTTCTTGTACTCCTCACAACTGACCCAGAACTCGATGTTTTCCTCACTGTACTCAGATTTGAGAAAAGCGCGGAAAGCAGCCAGTCCTCCTATGGATTGTTCAGAGGAAAACCAGGTCAGGCAAGAGCATTGGACCCTGAACACGTGCGCCCCTGAATCACAGCAAGCAGTGATTGTGGGTTCTCCTTCCCAGAGCTGGATGAGGAGCTGCCCTGGGCTGGCAGTGGGGAGGCTGGAATTCAGACAGGCCCCATGGGGGTGTCACACGTGGGGGCCCAGCTGCCTGTTCCCCCACTGTGACCTCCAGTGTCCCTGCCAGGCGAACACAAGCAACTCGTGTGTTCCCAGGAGGCCTTGAGGAGACAGCCAGCATGCCCCACAGAGTCTCAGACCATGGGAACAATGTGAAGGAAACATCAAGGACGTGAGTGTAGCCCACAGCTGATGGGAAGGCAAAGTTTCCCATAGGTTCAGCTGCAAATAATATCTCCTCCTTTTGGTTCTTGTTTAACCCACCACTAACTGTGTGTCCCAATCTTGCCCTCCTCTTGCACAAGGGCTAAACCAGTTGCTTTCACAAAACAGACAGCTCAGCAGTAGGCCAAAACCACACTCATGATGCGTTGGAATGGACCCTTGCCTTGGATCTGAGCAAGAGACCCCTTCCCCACCCCTCCCAGAGCTCTGCATGGCCAAAGGAGCTCCTGTGTGCCCCTAAGAGACAATCATAATGTTCTGTGTCCCTCCCATCCCCTCCCAGGACTGTTCAGAGCACACATGCTCTGCAGGCAGCATAAGAGCACTCTTCACTTACTGTCATGATGGATCAAATTTTCCAAAGACTCTGCCCATTTTCTTACTTCCTCTTGGCTAAGCCTAAGAAGAGACAAAGGGAGAAACACAGGGCTGAGTTAAAGAGAGTATAGAAAGGACAAATTTGGTTTGTTTGTCAACACTACTAGAAAAATCTTTTTTCCTAATTGTTGTAAGAGCATACACAAGAGACTGAGAATGAAATATCAGCTTGTTTTACAGATACCTCCAGGGATCCCAGATCTAACCTACAGAAATTTTGGTTTGCAATCCTCATCACCAGCCATGGGCTAGAAATGAATTTTCCTGGAAAAAAATTGGTGTGGATTTCATATTTATTTTGTGCCTGGCTGCATCTCTTGCTAGAACACAGGTCTGGAACCACTCTTAGAAGTCATATCAGTGAACTCCAAAGGACTGGTTCCTTTAAGCTGTCAGGGGAACAGTAGCTATGTGGAAAAGAGGAATGTGGGAACTGGAAACACACGGGGAACACATCCTACATTCATCCCCTCTACCATACTAGAACACCCTGGGGCTCATCTGTTCCAGCAGCAAAGCTTGGCTTTTGGAGCCCTCTTTGGAGAGAGCACTGTGTCCTTGCAGACTGGGGAGAGCAGTGACAGCCTGACAGGCTGCTGGCTGGTTTGTGTGCCTTCACCTCTGTGCAGCTGTGGGCAGCACTGCACAAACCCAGCCCAAAGAGGCATGGCATGCTGATTCTGCAATGTGTCCAGCTGCACTGGCTCTGGAATGGAGTCATTCCCCTGTGCAGGACACTGTACACGCCCTCCCCATGCTCATTCACATCGAATCACAGACGAGGTGCCAGAAGGGACCTCTAGTGCAGCATTCTTCATGGAAATTGAAGTCCTCAGGTGTTGATGGTCAGCTGGCAGGACTATCAACACCTCAGGGCCATTGCCACACTAGATCCAAGCACAGGTGTTCAGGAAGAACTGGGAAGCAGCACCACAAGTCCAGCTTGGTGAAGGAATAAACAACATGCTGCAGCCAGTCTGGGATTAACTAGGTGACAGCATCTGCTCTTACCTCTGGCTTGAAGATAACTTCTCCTTCTTGCCCTGGGAAGAGCTGTAGTCACAGGAATCTGACTTCTGCAGCAAGAAGCCCAGGCGGTGCTTCATGTCTTTGGCACTGAAAGAAAAAAAAATCAAGGAGGAGATGAAGACAATGCTTTGCACTCCCTCTGCAGCCTCCTCCAGCATTACTCAGTGACACAAATGCAGGTCACTGACAGGGACTCCAGTGCTGATTTTCCCCTCATTGCATAATGCACATTTTTCATTCTAGACAAGCACAATGGCAAACAAGTCATTTTTCATGTTCAACAGCATCTTGCTGAGAAGGTCATCAGACTGGAAGCAGGTGGCAAAGGGGGAGAAGCTGCTGTTTTCCTACTGTTTACAGTAAAAATATTGTGATAGAAAAGCATCACCGTGCTGTGTGTGTTACCTCTCCATGAGCTGATTTGCCCAGCTGCCAATGTATAGTTCTTACACCCTTACTAATCCCTTCCTGCAGCCCCTGCCATTTCCCCACCTCATCAGCTGGCACAGGAACAGCAGGGCCATGCCAGACCACCCCACCAAGCCCATGACACAGAGGGAAGGGAGGAAGTCAATGGCTTGGAGCAAGACTGTGGGGTGAAGTCAGGGGATGAGCCAAGAGCTCCACCACAAGCAGCCCACGCTGGCTGCAAGCTGCTTCCCCGCTCCACAGCAAGCTCCTCTGAAGATTCATCCTTAATTCTGTTCCACCTTCCAGCTCAGGACAATCCTTTCTTCACAGCAGCTTCTGGGCACGCAGCTGATACTGGCCTTGGCACCTCTCTCTGGGTTTCCTTCCAGTTTAAGAATGGGGGGTGGGTAAACCGTGCCTGCTTGCTCAGGAGCACAAGCCCTGGCCTGCCCCAAGGTGCAGCCACAGCGTAAAGCAGGAAATTCTCCTTCTCCTCAGATGTGAGCCTGGAAAAGAGCCAGAGGCTGTGCCACAGGGCTGAGCCCCAGTAGCTGCTCAGCACCCCAGCACTGCTCTCTGCTCCAGCGCCCTGTCAGGGATCCTGGCCATACCTGATCCCATTGCTTGCCTCAGAAATGTTCCCTTAACAGCTCCGGCACTCAGGGAGAGCAAAGGGAGCTCACAGCTGCCTTAGAGCAGGGTGCCTGTGGCCAACACCAACACCCACGCTCTGCCCAGGCACCCGTGGGGACTCTGGGCTGCCAGGCTTGGGCTGCCTGGTGCTGTCATGCTCCTTGCCCAGGAGAAGGAGACTGCTCAGCTTTTCAGGAGGGTGGCAGCAGGAGGAGACAAGACACTGCTGCTTGCAGCCAGGCCCACAGCTTTCTGGAAGAGAGGCATTTTGCTGGGAATCCTGGACAGAGGTGTTTAAAAGATGTGAACTATTTTTCCTCGCATTTTTCAATATTTTTTTATCCTCATCAAATGTTCCTGCAAATTGGAAGTGTCAACACCTTTTCCTCGTATTTTCAGCACCCGTTTTTAAATCCAACCATGAGCAGGAAGCTTTGTCCTCAGATGATAGGATAAAGCTATCATCTTTAGCTCCCATCCCCGGACGGGAGCCAGCTGAGTCTCTGCTTGCATTTTCCCAAGCCGCTGCACATCTGCTGGGAAGCAGCCTCAGGAGCGCTGCTGCAGGCACGGGTGGACAGCAAGGCAGCGCTGCACCAGCACGAGTTTCGATGGGCTGCATGAGAAGGGAGCGTTGTGCCTCCCTCCAGGGCATCCCCAGAGCACCTGAAAGGGAGTCACACCCCTCCAGGAGGGCTCATGCCAACCTAGAGCCCCCCCGTGCTGGGCTGTGGGGCAGGCCATGCTGCCGAGGGCACATTTGGGGCTGTGCAGCTCAGCCCAGCCTGAGTGGCAGCGCACGGCAGGGGTGTGATGAGCCCCACAGCAGCCCCAACAGGGCTGTGCATTGGGGAACAGCCTGACCTGGCCCCTCAGCATCACCCAGGGGACTCGGGCTGATCCCACACCAGCTGCTGCCGCATCCCCATCCACCGCGCCTGCATCGCTGCCTGCTGGCACACGGGTCTCTTGCGTTGCCACGCTGCATATCTGCATTTGAAATGCATTTCAGAGGATAATCCTCAATTGTTATCCCGTCTGCCTTGCTTCCCCCTCAAAAGAATCAAGAAAATTTAGCAGAGAAGAGCCAAAGGAGAAAAGGGGCGCAAAGACTGCAGCAGAAGCAGCTGACAGGAATATCAAAATATCGCAATGCTAAAAGCTGCTGTTTTTGATGATGGGGATGATGGGAAGGAAGGCTTTAGAGTTCTCCCAGCTCCGTACAAAACCTTTCTGCAATTCTGCTTCTAGCTGAAAAAAAACCACAAAAGCCTCTAAGCAGTCATTTGGATCTAATCTTGCAAAATAATCAGAGCCAAATCCGTCCTCCTGCCTCGGACACAAAGCGCGACGCATCAGCGCGTCTCCGGGCTAACGAGACCATTCCCAGATGCTCAGAAATAAACAGTACCTTTTTAAGCAAGTGGCTGGCAGTGCAGCGAGTCCCTTGCACATCTTGCTGCCGGGGTCGGGTCGGTATTCCAGGAACAACAACAAGGAGGCAGGAGGCGGCGGAGGCTGCGCACGGCGCTGGGCTCGGTGCGGTGTGCGCGGCAGCGGCGCTGCCTGGGCTCGGCTTTATAGCCCAGCCCGAGAGCCCGGCAGCGCTGGCTGACCCAGTCAGGAGTCAGCGCAGCAGCAGCAGCAGCACCCGTCCCCTTTTTGCCCACCCCAGAGGAAGAGGGTGACGTATAAAACCCAGACAAAGGGGTTTAGAGAGAGATTGAAAAACCTTACCAGAAACGAAGCTCGATGTCTGGCTGCAGAGGTGGAAATCTTCGAAAAGGGCTCAAAAAGCTTCGGGGGCTTCCTCTGTTGCAGGAGGTTGGGATGGTGCAGATGAAAAGCAGATTTTCGTGGGGGGACACAAATAGTAAAAAAGGTCAGAGAATCAATTCTGAGACGTGAGATGAGCTTTGCTGGTTCCTCTGTTAATTTCCTTTCCTCTTCTATTTAAAGTAACCTGGATCAAGAAAGGGACAAGAATTTTATACAGAAAAGGTTACCATAATCCAAACGAATGCAGAAAATAGAGCTCTTAAGGGATGAAGAATGTAAATTCACCAGGGAACTACCCAGGCAGATGAGACTTTCCAGTTTTATTCCAGAGTCATGTGAATGTATATTTTTGGTGAGGTTGCAACAAAAGCCTGGGGAGGGGGGAGGTGGTGCAAGGCACCATTGGAATATAAAATGTGCATGTCTCAGCACATAAATTTGAGGATAGCTCACATACATGCGTGGAAAAAAGGAATCTAGGTTGGCAGTGCATCTGCCTTAGATATGAGTATCACTGCAGCACCTTCTCCATTTGCATTTGCAAAATCAAAAGTCAGACCCGGGGACTCTGGGACTCACCAAGGAAAGATGGTTAATTAAAATAAAAGGCTTAATTGTGCCTGCCCAGAATGTCTTTGAAGAAGTTCTGAGGGTTCTTCATGCTAAAGAATGAGCCCATGAAACACCTGTGGGGGTGCCTGCACTGCCCTGGCTCTGCTGTAGTTCCAAGAACAGGATGACTTCAGCTACTTGTCCTCAGCCCTTGGATGGTGCAGAAGGCATCTCTCTCCCTGCCCCTCTAGGGAGAGCGAGAATTGGCTGATATTTATTGAGTTGCAGCTCAGCACAGCCTGTACCATCCTCACCAAAGCGGGGAGGGCTTTGGGCAGACGGAGGTGCATATGGGCTGCTGCATTTTAAGTCCTGCTCCCACTGTGAAATAAAGGAGCTTCTGATTAGCAGCAGGCTGCCTGCCCACACTATCCACTGCTGCACCTCCTCTCCCAGAAACCTTTCAGTGCTTTGCTCACGATCTGCAGGATGAGCCTTTCCCTTCTGTGTCTCAAGAGTCTACAGCCAGCAGCGTCGAGTCCAAATCCCCAAAGAGTTTACCTGCCTTGGCATACTGCATCCTCTCAGATCATTAATTGTGCTGAAAGGCAATGCTCTAATTAACTGTAAAACGCTTTTGTAGGAACAGGACTGTCCTGCTGCCAAACCTGAGGCTATGAGCCTGCGAGTCCTGCACTGTTTGGACTAAAAATCAGCTCCAGCTCAGGGCAGTGGAAAACTTTACCTGAGCGAATGCCCTCGTCCTTTTAGTGTTGGTGAGTTGACAGCCCTTGGGTGGATCTGTAGGAAGCAACTGAGCCCTGGCAGAGTTGGTGCCTAAGCTCTGTGGTGTCTTCTGTCTGGGTAGAAGTTGAAGGGCAGAATATGGCCAACAGAAAAATCTTAACTAATTATTTACTAAATATATGTTTAATTTCATTTGACGGTCAAACTTGTGCGATGTTACTGACATTCAAACAATTCAAGAGCTCATCTGGCTGACACAATCGAGGTGTTTGCAAACTCTAACCTTGCTCCTCTCTCTGGCAAGGTTAGAGCTCTGGCTCAGGCAGGTCACAAAGGCTGCTTGCTAGGGAAAGGAACTTCTGTGCAGAACACAAAAATTCTGCACTTTGTCTGCAAAATGTTGTATACTGGATTTAGGAATGTCACACTTCTTTTTGTATTGCAAGCACGTTTGCTGCATGGCTCTAATGACACTCAGATGCTGGTGTTGCTGACATCAGGTCACCTTTTGCATTCCCCAACTTCTGTGTGAGCAGGCTGTAATCAGGAATTTCTGGCACTGCCATCACAACAGCCAGCCTAAATGGCTTTAAAATAAGGGCCATTCTCCCTGGACTGGGCATGGAGACTCCTAGAAATCCTGCAGTTGAAATTTCCCTTTTTCCAGTTCATTAACACTGACTGGCTCAGCCTGGACCCCATGAGAGGAGTTTGGGCTTGTGCACTGTTTCTCCTCTAAGCTGTGTTTCCCAGCTTTCGCAGTTTAATATCCTCTCAGCTACACCAGCTGGTCTCCAATCTAAAGTATCCCCTTCCATCTCCCACCATCACAGGCAGGCCTCTTCCTCCAGGGCAGGCACAGACTGCGCTGTGCTCAACACCAAGCTCTTCTCCCCCTCCTCCTCCTCCTCCTCCTCCCTGCCAGCTCGTGAAGCAGCAGCTCACGCCATGTTTTACGCCTGGCACATCATCCCTGGCTTTCCTCACCTGCTCATGGAGAGCTCAGAGGCGAGGATCAGCTTGGGTGCAGGGCTGGGGGTGGGCTGGGCCATCCCTGCAGGCCTTTGGAGGCACCCAGGGGCTCTCAGGAGCCAGCACAATTGCAAACGTCTGTGGTACCCACCGTGGCATCCCTCCCCCGCCCGCTTCATCCCTGCTGCATCTCGAGCAGCTGGAGATGAGGCTCTGAAGGGAGCTTTCCCTCCCACCACTGCCGGGGAAGAACGTCACACCCGTGTGCTCACCCCGCACACGAGCGCGTGTGGGAAGTGTCCCTCGGCCCCCACAGCCAGACGCAGCCCGTGGGAGCAGGCAGGGAGCACGGGGAGCGCCGCTGCTCCCCTGGTCATTGCCTGCAGCTGAGCTGCCCCAGACCATTGCCCTCCTGCCCCAGTCCCGTCCCTTCTCGTCCCAGAGCAGCTGCCGTGGGACGGGAGGGCACCAGGAAGATGCTGCTGCTTTGCGTCACCGGGAGCCAGGAGGGCGTGATGTGGGGCTGTGGGGATGGGCTGCTGGGCCTCTCCTGCCACAGCTGCCTTCCTTCCCCAGCCTGCCCCGCAGGGGCTGTGAGCCACTCCTGCTCCTGTGCCAGCGCCCACAGAGTCAGCCAGGCACCTTGGCAACGGGCGAGCAAATGCCCAGGTGTGCGCAGTGGACACTGGGCAAAGCACTGCGCATCTTTCTCATGGCCAACCATAATCCGATATGTGTCTGGCAGACAGCATTGGTGAGGAACTGGAACATCTCCAACACAGCTGAAAAGCATCACTGGGCTTGGCACTGGACCCCAAGCCCCCAGGCTGCAGAAGCCCCCCACATGTAGCCACTCTGGTGACATTTCTGCCCAGGCGAGTGGCCACAGTGCTGAGCCCTGCTGTGGGGAGGGGACCTGTACACCTGTTAGCAGGTAAGATTTCCTTCCAGCACTGAGAACTGAATCTTACCCAGCAGGCATGTGACTTGAGCGAATTACAGCTAATGAGCTGAGAGCAGAGAACCCTGGAAGGACCATAGGGGTGTGAGCTTGGATGGATGAACTCAGCCCGTGTCTGAGCCTGACACTGCATGCAGCCACATTTCCTGTCCCAGGGCACTGACTGCGGCCTGACCTCCCTAAGAGACACACAGAGAGGCCACACTCACCCCCACAGGGTCCCCCAGCCAGCGCTGGGATTCCCAGAAATAGCGTCCCACAGCAGAGTCTGAGGGAACCGTCCTTTCCCATGGCTCTGCAATGCGCCGTGTGACTCCACGCATGAGCACGGCCCTGGCTCTGTGGCCAGCCCCTGGAGGCGGCCTGAGGAGGGGCCATGTCCCCCCAGCTCGGCCCTGGCAGGAGGGATGAGTCACCCTTCTGCAAAACGGGTCATTTGCCGCTCACACGGAAAATTTCTCGAGCGCATGGATGTACCTCCAGGCTGACCCAGTCCCCTTTCTGCTCTGCATGCACGAGGCAAAAATGGAACTCTTCAAGGGAAAGCAGCTTTAGTTTGCTGTGTTAGTTTCTTGATGAGCCTGCCATTCTCTGAAACAATGCTCTGTAGGCATTAGCACATTCATTTGTAGCCTCCCTTAGCTCCAGCTTTGCACAGTTCATACAACCAAATATGGAATCCAGACAATTTCCCCATGCTCTCAGTTGTTTCCTACTTATATGTGCACCTACAACAGCATCAGGGACCTTTTGTCATTTCTAAGGGCTTGGAATTTCCTAATCATTCTGAGGGATTGGTGAGAGTCATATTTTTCTTCACTTCAACCCCAAGGTTTTGGGCTGCCTACTTGTCCTGTTAGTACCCAGAAAAAATATTTCAACTTGTGTCAAAGGAAGAATTTTGTTCAGCCCAAATGGACGGGTTTTTTCCCTCTCCTGGTTTGGATTTGCTAATGAAATTAAGTGTTGGTTTTTTGTATGATGGTTTTTTGGTGGGTTTTTTGTTTGTTTTTTTGGTTGATTGGTTGGTTGGGGTTTTGTTTTGTTTTGTTTTGTTTTGTTTTTTTTGGTCTGGCTATTCTTTTTTTCATGGCCATCAGACCACAGGAAAATTTATTATTTGAGTGACTTGCCTTCCAATTTCCCGAATCTCTGTCTCCTCATCCATTTTAAACATTTCCTGCTAATCACTAAGACAATCACTGCACCACAAACCAGTCAACATATGGCTGTTCATTGATGCTTTCTCATACAAAAATCACTTTGAAATGTCTCATTTAGCCACTTGTAATGCATTTAGTATGGATTTTATGACACTTTAAGCCAAATATTGATAGCACGTCATATTCACTTATGAATCTATTTCACCACCATAACTTCCTCATGAAAAAACTATTAAGCTCATTAGAAAAGGTCTATTTTTCCATTAGATCATGTCAGCTGGTATCAATGACATCACTGCCTTTTCCAGTGTGTTCCCCATTGTCCATACTAATAGTGCTCCTGAACTCATCCACAGTTAAGAGCTATGTGACTGCACAGCTCCCCCTTTCCTAGGGAACCGCTGTAATTGTGAGGACTAATCGTGAAGAATCGTTAAGGTTGGAAAAGACCTCCAAGATCAGCAAGCCCAACCTTTCACCAAGCACCTCCATTCCAGCTAAACCATAGCACTGAGTGCCACGTCTGGTGATGGTGATTTCTCCACTCCCCTGGGCAGGTCGTTTTGGTCCTTAACCACCCTTCCAGTGAAGAAATTCTCCCTGATACCCAGACTGAACCTCCCCTGCTGGAGCTTGAGGCCACTTCATCTCATCCTGTCACTAGCTGCCTGGGAGAAGAGTGCAAACCCCACCTGGCTCCAATCTCCTTTCAGGCAGTTGTAGCGAGTAATAAGGTCACCCCTGAGCCTCCTCTTCTCCAGGCTAAACACCCACAGCTCCCTCAGCTGCTCCTCACAGGACTTGTGCTCTCCAGAGCCTTCAGCACCTTCATTGTCCTTCTCTGGACCTACTCTAGCACCTCAGTGTCTTTCTTGTAGTGAAGGGCCCAGAACTGGAAACAGTACTTGAGGTGTGGCCTCACCAGTGCCCAGTACAGGGGGAGCAATCCCTTCCCTGGTGCTGCTGCCGCACTATTCTTGATCCAGGCCGCATGCCCTTGCCTTCTTGCCCAGCTGGGCACAGCTTGGGCTCATGTTCACCCACTCTTGACCAGCACCTCTTTTTCTGGTCGGCATTGTCTCAGACACTCTGCCCCAGCCTGGAGCATTTCATGGGATTGCTGTGACCCAAAGGACCTGGCCTTCTTGAGCCTCATACAGCTGGCCTTGGCTCATGGATCCAGCCTGTCCAGATCCCTCTGCAGAGACTTCCTGCCCTCCAGCAGAGCAACACTGCCACTCAACTTGGTGTCTGGGAACCTGCTGAGGGTGCACTCGATCACCTCTTCCACATCACGGATAAAGATATTAAACAGGACTGGGCCCCATAGTGAGCCCTGGGGAGCTGCACTGCTGACTGACCACCAGCTGGATGTAACTCCAGTCACCACTACTCTCTGAGCCT